GACTAGTTTTAGAACTAAGGACCAAATAACAGTAAGACCAGTTAAAAAGATGGTCCCTTATTCAGTTTTTCTGAGACTGATCCATCCTTATTTATCAGGTTTTAGAGTTGGGTTCATAAATATTCATGGATAAATGGATTTTTAATTAGTATGTAAATATCACCATTTTTCTGATATATGAGAAATGTAATTATATAATATTTGATGAATTTCTGAGTTCTCATGAATATCTGCGAATTCTCTGAATATTCATGAATTCTTTATGAATATTTATTTAAAATGTATATATTGATATTTATTCGTGAATTATTATAATTCACGAATTCTCATTTAAAATTATATGCGCAATATGTACCTAATTTTGATCCTGAATTTTTTTCTGTCAGTAATTATTTTTACTAACAATCTATTTAGCTAACATTTTGTCAAGTGACAATTTACCAACAATAAAGTCTATATACAACTAATAATATGCTAAACTGTGATGTCAGCTTAATGAGCTATCAGTGAAGTAAGAAGAACTGTTTTTATATTGTCTATTGTAAATCTTTATAGAAAGTTTATAAGATATAATAGGCAGCATCTACAATTTACGTTAAACTAGTACTATATTGTATAAAAATAAGGATCTTAAAAGTAATGCTATATAGTATTGTGTTTGTTTTATTTTTAAGATCTTTATAATGATACTAGTTTGATGTAAATTGTATATGCTACAATACTAAATTTAGTTTCTTTTATTAAGTTCATCCAGGTAAAATTATATATATAGTTAAATCGTAATAGTAATCTAGCCAGGTCCAGTTTTTCTTAAAAATTGTCACAAAATTTGAATATTTTGTATTATTAGTTCAAAAATTTTTCTTATCAATCTATATTATTATATATAATATGTATAGATTATAGGATAAATATAGAAAACTATAAAAGATTTGTATACATAATTCTTTCAAAATTATCAACCTGTCTGCAGGATAGTTTTAAATAATAGAACAATAGATATTAATAAATAGGTTAAATATTTTTAAAAAATATATTTTTTAATTCAAAATTATCTTTATCTATGTCTTTACAACCAACTTTGTCTAGTTTTTCTAATGCTTTACCAACTAATATTACTTCTATTACTTGTTCAATATATAAAAAAAAATTTAAATCAAAATGTGGTTTATCTTTGCACCATGCTATAATACAAAAATACAATAAAGGTAATCAATTAAAAACCTTACCAAAACATTCTATATTAGAATTTAAAGAAATATTAGTATAGTCAATTCATCGTAAACTTTCCTCTAATTTTAAAAAAATAGAAAAACAAATAATTTCACTACCTTGTACAGAAAATCAATTTTATACAGTTTTTAAAGGTCATATTCACTATTATTCAGAAAAAAAAAATATTACAAATGTATTTTTTCTAGATCATCAGCCTATACAATATTAGCAAAAATTTTTAATACAAAAAAATAGGGTCAAAAATTATATGTACAAAATCAGCAAACATACGTTGTACTTAATAATTATAGTGAAAGTAATGAAATAGATCCTTTAATAGAATTAGCAAATCAAAACAAATCTATAAAAAAAAGAAAATCTAAATTTCAACGTGGAGAAATTTTGGTTGAATGGAAGCAAAAAAAAATTAAAGAAGGTGATAGTATTTTTTGTGCAGGATTTATCTATATTAATTTTTTTATTTCACAAAAAAGAATGTAATTTCTATTTTATACAAATTTTTTTAGGTTTTTTTAAATTAGATGATATTTGATTATAAGAATAATAAAGTGTTCTATTTTCATATTCTAAAATTTCCAAAATTG